AAAGATTAGATAAAAAACTAATATGTAAAACAAGAGAAACCTTAAAATTTAATTTAAATATTTAAAAAAAAAAAAAAAATAAATTTTGCACCATTGAGAGATATTTTCATTTTACCATTTCATAGATATTCACCTAATTTATAGTTTTACAATTTCGGTATACTACAAAAATCTCATTAGCATCCATATTCATTACTAGTAGTTAACTTAATTAGAATTTAAATACTTTTTTTTTTTGTTTTTGAAGAAACATAAAAAATTAGTTGTAAAAAATTTGTTAGCCTTAAAATGGTGCATTTTTTTGTTAGCTATACGACATCTTTATAGCATCATACATAGGGGATGGACGGGTCTGCCCCTCTAGGTTGGTTATACCATTATGGTAGAGGTTCTTTTACAAATCAAAATTAAATAAAAAGGAACAAAGGGAATAATGAAAAAGAACAAAAAAATCAAAACATGCTCCCAGGGGCACCTTATAATACAGAGACACAAAAACATCGAGTCAAAAGGACCGAAATCACAAAATCGAATAAAATCAAACATGTATGATGAATGTGAAAGAAAAAAACAGCATACCAAATAGGTTTTTCAAAATTTGAATTGAACTCAATAAAATAAAATAATATATACATTTATTTGGAATGGTATTTTTCTTTCGAATTCCTTTTCGTATCGGCACACGGATACAGGACCTAAATGTGCAGCTGCCTAAACAGCTATTTTTACTGGCATAAATTATCGGCTAGCTTCTTTGTAAAAGAAACAAGTTAAAAATTATCAGAAGAAATGGTCTGATCTCTACTATCTTTCTAACAGATCTTGTGTTGATGGAAAGATTGAGATACGCCAAGTCTGAATGGAATTGTATTGCTAATTTCGCGTTTTATGAGCTTCATGGTAATTCAAAATGGGGTCAACATTTGTGGGGAAGGTAACAGAAGGAGTGACCCGATATATCCCGTCTTCACAGCAGATCTTGTTTTTGTTAAAATAATAGGATGTGTGAAATATGAAGAGAACTGAATGCTTATCCCGGATCTTATAATAGTTCTGGTTATTCCGAACTTTGACCCTTTGTTGGGGAGGTAGAAGAAGAAATGGTAAAATTTCTAGCATCTTTATAACAGATCTTGTGTTGATGAAAATATTGAGCTGTACTTAGTCTGAATGGAATTGGATTGCTAATTTCGCGTTTTATGAGCTTCATGGTAATTCAAAATATTGACCCTTTGAGGGGAAGGTACCGATATATCCCATCTTCACATCTGATCTTGTGTGGGTAGAAATAATGGTATATGTTACATTTGAAGAGAAACAGATGCTTATTTCGAATTTTATAATCGTTTTGGTTATGTGACATTTGAAGAGAAACAGATGCTTATTTCGGATTTTATAATTGTTTTAGTTAATCAAACTTTGGTCCTTTGTGGAGTAGGTACCAGAAGAAATGGTCCGATCTCTAGCATATTTATAACAGATCTTGTGTTGATGGAAATATTGAGATGTTCCAAGTCTGAATGGAATCGGATGTTAATTTCGCGTTTTATAAGCTTGATGGGTATTCAAAATGTTGACCCTTTGGGGGGGGAGGTACCAGAAGGATTGGCCTCTATAACCCATCTTCATAGCAGATCTTGTTTTATTAGAAATAATAGGATTTGCGAAATATGAAATATGAACTGGATGCTTTTTCGGTTTTATAATAGTTTTGGTTATTCCGAACTTAGGCCCTTTGTGTTGGCGTTACCAGAAGTAATGGTCACACCAGCCGATGACTAAGCCAGTAAAAAAAAACGTTCCATGTATTTTACCTTAAGTTTTCAATCGAGATTGTGAATTAGGCCTTTAATAAAATAAAAAAGGGCTAAATAATCCTCTACATACATATTAAATAAACAAATATTTAAATAAAAAAACTGACAAAAATTATTTACAAAATATAACAAAACATATAAAATAGTATGTAACGTGCTTCAAAACCAAAAAAAAAAAAAAAAACAAATAGAAAAATGTTTTCAAAATAATTGGTGATTTTTTGTCATTTTTATGTGTGAGTAGTGAGTTATGAACAAAATTTACAAATGATTAGAAAAAAAAACAATAGAAAAAAAATTCTACAAAAATTAGTCAAATTAGTACAGAAACAAAAATATACATATAAATACACAAAATTAATTATTTAAATGTATTATTAGTAAAGAAAGCAATTAAAAATAATTTACACACAATGCATCAAATGGTTATTCATCGAGAAAATCTATCAGATATTTTATTATTTCGGTTTATTTGATTATATTATTGTATCTGGAAACAGTGTAAATAAATTGAGTTGAGATTTTTTTACAGTTCTTATAAGGGATCGCATAAAACTTGCGTAAATTGCAGAACCAAAGAAAATATCTGTTGTCATCTACTGGTGATCGAAGGCCCTGATGAAAATCCTATAAAAGTCTTTTCCTCAGTGCGAAACAAAATTCCTATATTTCGTAGAGTCCTTTACCAAGTCTTTTGTATAAAAAAGGTCTTGTATGGACCATATCCAGGTCATCTATAGAGAGAATATCAGAGCTCAGATTTCCTCGACTTTACTCACGAGTGAAAAATACTAGATGGGGTGCTTGAAGAGTAGAGTGGCTAAGAGATCCCGAGTGCTGCCGCTCTAAAGATTGGATATATTTATCCCAACCCATTTATACTAAATCTAACTCTAGGAAAATTTGTCGCATTTTATGAGAGTTACAATTAGTTAAAATATTTACCCTTTGTGGAGAAGGTACCACAAGAAGTGTACCGATATATCCCATATTCACATTATGCCTATGGTTGACAAAAATATTAAGATATACAAAGTTTGAAAAAATTGGAAAACTCGATTCGCTTGTTAAATTCAAAATTTTTACCCTTTGTGTTTGAGAGACCAAAAGTAGTTGTTAGAAATATTGGGATGTGTTGGTAAAAATATTGGGATGTGCGCCAAGTTTGAGAAGAATCGAATGCTCACTTCGCATTTTATGAATATCGTCATATCAAAAAGTTAAGCCCTTTTGAGGGAGATACGTACCAACCAGAGAGGTCCATTTTCTCCAATCTCCATACAAGAAAATTGGATGGTCCTTTCTCTTTCTATGAGCCAACTATTTTCTTTGAGCACCGAAATATCGACTCGAAATACCCTGATTTCGTCCAAAGATACCGATAGAACCGTTTTTTTGATGAGGCACGTATCAAATAAAATATATTAGGCTGGAGTATAAAATTTGAACTTCTGTGGATCAGTTCACCCCTGATATTGCATATCTTCTACTTCGGTCGAAATTAAATAATAACAGTAGTGTATACTAAGTTTTGGACGACGTCGGATATTCCCTTCGACAGTTATCATGCGCACCAATCAGACAAAAGGGCAATGCTAGATAGACTCCAAATGCCCTGAATTTCGTCCAAAGAGACCTAGGGTCTAAAATCGTTATTTTGATAAGGAACATTTTGGCCGTATCAAATGATATATGCCGCCTTTGTAGCCATAAGGCGGCTAAGGGTATAATAACGGTATAAGAATTAAGAATAAGAATTTTTCTTTCCGTAATCGAAAACGAGTAAAGCATACTCGCTCTTATTTGAGAATCAATAGACAATTTTGACCTTTTATGGGGGAGGTACTAAAAGGAGTGTATGAATATTGTCCATTTCCGAAATCGATCGATGTAGAAGATGAAAGAAATCGGATACTCCTTTCGATAGTTAGCGTGCGTACCAGTCAGATGGACCCATCTGAATGTCCTAAAACGAATTTCGTCCTGTAGCTCCAAGGTTGAGCATATAATAACGGTATGACAAAACCGAATGAATACTGCTCGATTTCGAATGAATTTTACTCCCACTCGAAAAAGAGCAAAGTATAACCGCTCTTATTTAAGTGACATAGAAAAATAAAAATATTCTCATTTTTTACTTACACAGGAGTACTCCCGCTGTAATTGGAGAAGAGTTCACTCCCTATTCGAATTCGAACGAGCATTTCTTAGCTCTGAATTTTAATTTTTTTTGTTTCGTGAAGGTTTTTTGGTTTATAGCTAATTCCTTTGCAAATATTCCGTCTTTCGTAGACCTCACACAGAGGTCTAAAAGTCTAAGGTCTAAAATCGTTTTTTCGTATTCTCTGTGGCCCCAATGTTTTTTTTTTACTCACACAGGAATACCCTCGCTCCGAGTAGAAAGGTTTCACTCTCTACTCGACTTCGAACGAGAATTTCTGAGTTCTGATTTTTGCAATTTTTTGTCTCGTGCAGCGGTCCCATGCAGGTATTCACCTTATAAAGATCAGAGAGTATAATAACGGTATTACAAAACCGAATTAATTTGATCATATACAGATTTATGTTTTTCGAAGAAAATATACAGGTCTTCTGTCCGATCAACATAAGACCATATGCAATGCTTTCTTCCATGGTACTTTATAAAGGTCTTCTATCCATCAAAGGCCTTTCCTCAAACTTTTTTTTACACTGTTCCACAAGAATAAATACAAGGACATACCTCCGTGTTAATTTCTGTTCAAAGCAAGACTCTTAGCGGTTAAATATTAGGGTGTATTATTTCTAAATTTCAATTTAACGGTTTTTGTGATGATAGTTTTGGATGATGGCTAGAGAGCATGTTCAGATGGTATGGGTAGACGACGACAGCGACAACTTTACGATTTTAGTTCTCTATGAATTCCAATATTAGTGTAACTTTTTGTTGGTAAGCTAAGCATTAGAGGGAACGTTAAGGCCAAACATTGGAGGGACATTTATACTAGGAATGAAAATTATCCCAAAATGTGGAAGGATGAGATACAGACAAAGTGAGAGAGAGATAGCGCTAGATAATGACAGCAAAAAATTCTATGGTTTTAGTAAGCTTTCATTTTTGAGCCTTAACTAGTGAGGACAGTGAGGTGTGTTTAAAGGGGAGATAGAGAGAGAGTGAGAGAAAGAAGCAATGTTGCTGTTTACCTGCTGCTGATGTTGTTTTTGTTGCTGTTGTACCAGTTGTTGGGCAAAAAGCTGTTGCCTGGCCGCGGAGTTTTGAAAAACAATAACCGATTCAGTCTTTTCACGACGAGGACGCAAGAAATCTAAATTACTAGTCCAGCTAGTCTTATTGGGCGCATTGGCAGTGGTCGAACCACTGGTACTTCCCGAACTTTTTGCATTGGCATTTTGTGTTGACTTATTGGCGGCGGAATTCGTCTCTTTGGCGCTCTTATTCAAATCATTTTTATTATTATTGAATATACTGTTGTTTCGGGGTATCATGGCACTGGCTCTCTGGGCTGCTGAGCCAAAAGGCGACGATTGTTGTTGTTGCTGCTGCAATAGATTTGTGTTGACCAGCACTGCTGAATGGCGTTTGGTTAAGGGGAAGAAATCCGAGTTTTCGCGCCGGAATCCGCGTATAAAGTTTTGTGGCAATTTTGAGTCGGACTCTTGCCGTTTATGCGTGGCATTGTTATTGGCACTTCTTAAGGCATTTGTGTTAGCTGGCGACGCTGACGAGGACGTCGATGATGTTGGGGAAGACTTGTTGTTGTTGTTGTTATTATTACTACTATTATTATTTGAGCCATTAGTTGAGCTCGCCTTAGTTCTACTGGAAACTGACATCATTGAGGCTCGAGTTTGATCTTTGGTCTGGGCTTGTTGAGCACCTGTCTTTATTGGCTGGAAGCCTTTGGGCGTTTGTCTTGAGCTCGGCACCTCAGCCATACTGCATCGTTGTAGTTTGCTATCGGCCTTTAGAGTACTACTATTTGAACTACTTGGCACCCGTGAAAGACTACTGGAGACACCTGTTGTAACAGCCGCTGATAAATTGTCATTTGAGCCAACCGCTCCTCCTCCTCCTCCTGCTCCACTGCTGGCACTTTGTTTTGGAAAGAATTTCTCAATATCCCATTCCCGCAAGAGAGCAACATCACGCAACTCATTTTTCGGACGATTGGCACAAGATGTCGAAGCGGATTTTTGTAAACGATTTTGATTTTCGAATTTCTAGAGTCGGGGAATTTGTTTTGAAATAATTGTTGTTATATATAGTTGTGTGTTTGAGTTTGAGGTTTTGTTTTTGCAATACGTAGAATTGAGAATATGGAGATGGAAGTAGGAAATATGTTTTTCTTATATCTATTTGGGTTTGTTTCCTTTTATTTTTGAGTCATGATTCAATATTGGGATAATTGTTGCAAGTTGTTGGTTTTGCCGACAGATGTATACCCCCCAGCCCTGAGTTATGATTATTTAAAATGTTTACCCCCCCCTTTAGCGTGGATATATATCATTTTTAGAACAGATCTTGCGTTAGCAAAAATATTTGGATGTGTGAGCTTGAAGAGAGTTGGATGCTTATTTCGCTTTCCTTTAGAGTTTTGTTTTTCAAAATATTGAACCCTATGTGGGGGAGGTAACATAAGGAATGGTGCGATCTCTACCATCTTTATAACAGATCTTATGTTGATGGAAATATTGAGATGTACCAAGGCTGAATGGAATCGGACGTTAATTTCAGGTTTTATAAGATTCATGGGTAGTCAAAATTTTGACCCTTTGTGGTACTTGATGGATGGATTTGACCCTTTGTGGACTGATATTTCACCTGACCTAGCACTGATGCAAATATTAGGATTTGCATAGTTGGAGCAAAATCGGATTATCCTTTCTCTTTCTGTGCAGTAAATTATTTTCTTTGAAAATGTTGATATTTTGTGTAGGAGGTACCAGAAGGAGTGGACCGACATTGCCCATCTCCGAACTCGATATAAGTTTGACAATTATATTACGAGTACAAAGTTTGGATTTGGTCCAAAGAGACCTAGGGTCTAAACCTGTTATTTCGATGAGGCACGTTTTGGCCGTATAAAATGATATATACCCTCCCTAGCCATATGACTGAGGGTATAATAATCGAAATACCAAATATCGGGAGAAACCGTTGTATGGGGCCTACAACAAAATACCAGATGAGGAAGTGTTCATAACTAACTATAAATACAATTTTTTTTTGCCAGGAGAAGTAGTATTCGTTACAAATTGTAAACAATTCCAACAAAACTTAGCACCATCGCACTCAGCAAGCGCCACCCGAGAATGGTTACAAAATGAAGTGTTGATCACCTCAAGCAAGAGCTTCGCCGGGAATGGCCCAAAATGCCGCAGAGTAACATTCGGACAGCGTGTGACGGTTTCATTGGCCGTTTGAAGGCCATAATTCGTGCCAAAGGTGACCAATACGAACAAATCTAAACTTATTCTAAAATTTGATGCTATTTCCGACATTTCTTTGCTTTCATGCAATAACATGTAAAAAACTTAAAAATTGTGGCAGTTTTTTGTCTCACCCTGTATATCCGTTTCTTGAACTGCAACGTCAACTACTGACCCGAGGAACAAAGCCCGACTTGGTCATCAAGGGATCACTTCCTGAACATGCATGATCAATAACCGCTTGTGCGTTTTTGTTTTAGCGTCAGAAAATGATCTTAGGAACATGCAATTCTGTAGTACCATCCTTTGTGTGGTCATTGTCGTCTGTGTTACTTAAGGACACTTCCCCTGCGTACGTTTTGGTCGATGACAGGGGTCAGGAGTGTCTACAGTCTGGTGGGGGCAGTGTTCCGAAATCTTTTCCTGGTCAAAAATTCGAAAGTTTTTAAAGGGATATTTAAATACATAGTTTTAGTATACATATAACATATTTTGGGATTCCCTTTACTTGAATATCATTAAAATTGTTCCACGGTCTCCTGAGGAACTTAAGGTCGAAGTCAAACTTTGTGAAATTTTGCGTTATTTGAAAGGGGTTTTTAATTTAACTTCACGTCTCACGGAGATGGTAAAAACAGCCACGTTTTTATTGGGAAGCCAGATAATTAATTCTAAAATCTCTTATTTCATCTATATGCAATAGCAACAATTATCCACTTCGAAAATCATGACATCACAAAGGAGATGTTTTCCATTGGAATCTAAGAGTAAATGGACCTAACTAATTATATTTTGCAAATTTTTCATGAATTTTCATTCACTTTTTTTTTTGATTAATGTTTTGAACCGCAATTATAATTGAATGTTGTTTGGCATATGAACATGAAGCTAAATATCTATGTTTGTAATGATTTTTTGTTATATAAGAAAATATACATACAAACAAATATCACAAACACACAAACATTCGGATTTCGTTTTATAAAAAAAATGTCACATTGTTGCTGCTGCTGTTGTTGTTAAGAAAAAAAAAATAGGTGTGCCAGTCAACAAGACCATATTTATATATGTATGTATATATTCACAGATGATGTGCATTAAAAAAATGCGTTTTTGTAAATTAACAGCAAACTAAGTGCAGGATATATGATATTTTAGAGAGAATATTTTTTTGTTTGTACATTTTTTTGCATTGTTATGATATTTCAAAAAATTATAGAAAAACACAAAATTTGAAATATAAATCTATATAAAATTCAATAAAAAAAAATAAAATTCACGAAAAATATTTGCAAAACAAAAGGAAAGGTGTATTTAATATTTTTACAGAGTACTCCAATTGGTAAAATGAAATAAACAACCTTTTTGGAATACCCTGTATTATTTGTTCGTATATCTTTGAATTGAATATAAAAAAAAAAGAATTTTTAACAAAATTATGTGTATAAAAGAACCGCAACCATTTAATATCGCTAGTAGTATTGTTGTTTGTTTGTAATAATAATAAAAGATATTTTATAATTTTATACAGGAAAAATAAAACGAAATTGGCTCACAAGAAACCCTGAACCCTCTATAATTTTATGTTGAAAATTTAGTTGCATTGATAACTTTAAACAAATCTATCAACAGTTTTTTTTTATTAATTGGTTAAAATTTAATTAAAAAAAATACAATATTTACTAATAATCTGTTCTGTATTATTAGAAATTTAGAAAAATATACATGTCTTAATGTTGTTTTGCGACAACATAACCACACCTTCTCGTAGTCTACAACAATACATACAAGTTAAAGATTATTATTATTATTTTTTTTTTGTTTAAGAAAAAAAGGAAAAAAATCTACCTACAAAAAGTTCACAATAAAAAATCACCAATTTCATATACGAAATAATAAAAAAACTAAACAATTGTTTCTTTTTTCCTTTGTTTACAAAATTTAAAATATTCAAAACCAAATTTGGCTATCATGGATATCAAAGACCATTTCAATTACTAAATATCAAATAAAATCTCACACTTACCCTTTTCATTATCAATGTACGATCGCCGGCTTGGTCATCATCATCTGGTGTGGGAGGTAAGGGGCGATTTGGTGGTCCACCGCTGCCATGGGTAATGGGCGTTGATGAGGAATCCTCTGATACTGGCACCAGGCCAGGCCTATATGAAAATTCAGGACTTGTTTTTATAACCAAATCATAATATACAAACAAATAACAAAAATCACAACAACAACAAGAACAAGAAAAACATAAGTAAAGTATGAGTATTTGAAAAAGAAAATTATGAAAAAAATCAAAACGCATGATATTTAAAATGAAGAAACCATCGAATGAATATAGAATGAGAAAAAAAATAGAGCAAGAGGAGAAGAGAGGAGTTATGAATTATGATTAGAGTTTTTTTTTGGAATAATTTGTTTTTTTTTTTTTTTAATATGAAAAATAGGTGAGTTTTTTTTGTATTTCTAAATCTAAACAGAGAGATCGCAGGGGGCAAATTGCTTTTATATTATTAAATGTTTAAAATATTTAACATTTAATGATATTATTTTACATCGAGGATCTGTAACTTTTTATGGAATATTTTTAATTGCATTGGTTTAACTAGGATTACCACATTAGAGTTCATTGTTTTCCCCAATAACCATTTAAAAACAAGTAAAAAACATTAAGTTCGGCCGGGCCGAACTTTTAATACCCTCCACCCAAGGGTAAAGGAAACATTAGAACCCATTATGACCCACAAATACCAATTTTTAGACATATTCGTGGGAAAATGTGGCAAAAGTCATGAAAATACCGAATATCGGGAGGTACCGCTATATCGCGCTATACAAAAACGTGGATCTATACATACAATGTTTGGCCAACGGAGCTAGAACCAATTAGGACCCACAAATACAAATTTTTAGACAAATCCGCGAAGAAAAATCATCAAAACACCGAGGTACCGTTATATGCGAGCTATACTAAAACGTGGACCTATACATGCAATGTTTCGCCACCGGAGCTAGAACCCGTGATTACCAACAAATACCAATTTTTAGACAAATCCGTAAAAAATTTAGCAAAAATCATCAAAATACCGAATATCGGGAGGTACCGTTATATGGGGACTATACCAAAGCGTGGACCTATACATGCAATGTTTCGCCACACGAACTAGGACCCATTATGACCTACAAATACCAATTTTTAGACAAAACCGTGAAAAAATGTGGCAAAAAAAATCAAGATACCGGATGTCGGGAGGTACTGTTGAATGTGGACAATACCAAAACGTGGACCGATATATCTCATTTTCAATACCAACCATTCTAAACACAATGCAAATTGTTCTGCTAAATTTTGACGCTCTACGTCAAATAATATGTGCTGTATCGAAATTGCAACAGACAGACGGACTTAGAATTTTATGTTGATTATGAATATACTTTGAATACCCTCCACCTTTTGGAATGAATTTGGCAATTCTCAATAACAATAAAATCCCTTAACAATTCTGTTAAAATCTTAAAAATACCGAATGTAGCTGTTATATTAGGGTCTATACGACGACATGGGTAACTCTTGTCATAAGCCATAGCAATATTCAAATGCGAAACTTAAAAAAAAATCGGTGAATAATGTCGCTAAAATCATCAAAATGCCGGTTATATGGGGGCTATAGAAATACGTGGACTTGCATTGACAATTATTTGTAATAGGCTGTATTATCCATTACGAACTTCAAATACCAAATTTGAAACACTATATGGACTATTTTCAATACCAAAAGTCCTGCAGATATAATATACATATGTATATACCCTCTCTGTAGCCATGTGGCTGAGGATATAAAAAGTGTAACTAAAATCTTCAAATTTGTTCAAAACGTGTTTTCGAATTCTAAATACCAAATTTGAAACAATTCCGTGACGAATGTGACTAAAATCATCCAATTTCGACTAACGGGAGGTATATTTACATGGGGTCCAAACGAAAATGTCGATCGAAACTCCATTTTTTTCAATAACAATCATCCAATGCAAAAAATTATGCCAAAGCTCTTCGGCAAAGAATGTGGGTACAGGCATCATGCAAACTGTTATAGGCTGAATATTGATTTCAACAGAGGACAGATATACGGGCGTCGTTAAATCGACTTAGGTCCGTTCTTATAACTTTACTTTATAGTCCAGTTTGGTTATCCCTTACTTAAGGAAAAGTAAAGGATAAAGTCCACACTATCGGGTTTTCATGCTTATATCTTTACTTCGAAATAAATGCATTTTCAGAGATATGACAATAAAATGAGTAATCAACGTTAAAAGATAAAGGGAAGATGGTCTGGCGTTTTGCTTATCGGACAGTTCATATTTAAATAAAACTTGTAATAACGAAAAACGATTTTTTTTGTCAGACATCATAATTTGTTTTCTATCGAAAAGACGTAATAACCGGCCTTAAGTTTGTATTCTTTATTCTTCGACGAATATTTGGAGGTGTTACAAACGCAATTATAAAAATTATTTCTATGTTTACCTGAATAAGGTGAATAATTTTTAATTTTTATATGATCCAAAGAAGAAAAGTAGCACAATCTTAGCAAATAGTTTAAAGAACATTTGCCCCATGTGATACGATTTACATATGAAACGTTGAGATGTGAATGTGATAATTTATAAATGCAGCTACGGCTTGTTCGAGCTTAATTATTATACATGTACGACTTTGTTAAATATTCAGTTAATAAAAAAAATCCATTCGAACTGTTCAAATTCAAACAGTTTCGCTTCAAATTTAATTTTAATAAAAATTTTGAAAATGTTCGTTCATTTCCGAACGGCTTGAATATATCAGTATTTCCATAACCATTATCTTGTGAAATTTTTGATTACATCTGATTAGGAATTGTGCTGCAGAAACAGATCCAATAAATTCAAAAATGAGTAAAAAAAAATTGTAAAATTAAATTAAAAGAAGAATATATCGGTCGGTTTTGCCGACAGATGTGTACTCCCAGTCTTGAGTCATAATTATTCTAACTGTTGACCTTTTATGGGGGAGGTCCCGCAGCAATTGACCAATACCATATTTGGACTACGTCATCTACTTCCTACATTTTATATGCGATATGTGCAAATTTTTGAAAATATGGAAATATGCGTGAGGTACCAGATATAGCGGTACGAAATATTCCACTTTATCTAATACAGATAAAAAAATTGGTATGTGCAAAATTTAAAGAAAATCGAACATTTATATCCAATTTTATACGAAATCATATATGCTTATTATTTCTGGTTGAAGTGCCAGAACGGATTGGCAGATATCTATCATCTTCACAACAGATTTTGCGTTTGCAAAAATGTTTGGATGTGTGAAATTTGAAGAGAGTTGGATGCTTATATAGCGTTTTTTATGGGGGAAGTACCAGATATAGTGCGCTGATATATCCCATTTCACAGCAGATATTGTGTCAGCAAAAATAATGGCATGTGTGAAATTTGAAGAGCCGGATGCTGATTTCGGATTTTATGATCATTTTTGTTATTCAAAACTTTGACACTTTTCTGGGGAGGTACCCAGAAGAAATTATCCGATCTCTATAAAGGATCTTGTGCGGATGTAAACATTGAGATTTGCTAAGTCTGAATTGAATCGAATGTTAATTGTGCGTTTTATCAGCTCCATGGATAATATGCAGAAATAGTGCACCGATATATCCCATTTTCACAGCAGATACTGTGTTAGTAGAAATAATTTTATGATCGTTTTGATTATTCAGAATTTTGACCCTTTGTGGGGGAGGTACTTGATGGAGTGATCTAATAGGTACCATCTTTATAACAGATCTTGCGCTGATAGAAATATTGAGATGTGCTAAGTCTGAATGGGATCGAATGTTAGGTTCGCGTTTTATAAGCTTAATGGATATTCAAAATGTTGACCCTTTGTGGGGCAGGTTCCAGAAGGAGTGGACCGATGTATTCCATATTCGTGATGTGAGTAATTTTTTCCGCACATGACCTAACACTGATGTAGATATTAGGATTTGCAAAGTGTGCTTTCTGTGCAGTAAAGCATTTTCTTTAAAAATGTTGACATTTGTGTGGGGGAGGGGGGGGGGGGGGTAATCGATCTAAGTTTGATAATAATATTACGATGTACCAAGTTTGGATCAAATCGGATACTCTCTTCGAGAGTTATCATGCGCACCAGCCAGAGACAGACAGACGAACGGACATCGTTAGAGACCTAGGGTTTAAAAGCGTAAATACGACGAGACACGTTTTGGCTGTATCAAATGATATATACCCCCTCTAGCCATGTGGCTGAAGGTATAATTAACGAATATATTCCTGTAAGATGGACCTATAGGGTATTGATATTCTAAACCAAATCCTAGGGAAATTTCACAGCACAAACATATAATTTTCATGTGATTCTGTAGAAAAAACTTTCAATATCTGTTCAAAAAGATAGGGTGGTCTCTTCTTATTGTTTCTTTCGATTTTCTGAAGTAGACAAACCTTTTCAAATTTTTTTTATAAAAATCAAATATTAAAAAAAATATGTTTTTAGACGAACGATTCGAGTGAAATGAATTGTTTTACAAAAACTGACTATTCAAATGGATACATTTGTGAAAAAGTAGAATAATATTGAAACTTTAAAACATTCTTAAGACAAGAGAAATTATGTTCTTGCAAACAATTTTGAAACATTTTTACATTCACGTTTCAATAAAGCAAAAATGAAAATGGGACTCATTGCGAGTTCCATTGAATACTTTAAAGCTCAAATAAGTCGCTGGCTTAGCCGTTCGTTGTTTTCAAAACGGCAATAATAAATTCTCAACGTTTCACATGGTAACTAAAAATAAATATAGATTTTAGTATTCATTCATATTTTAAATTATTTCAAATTTCCAAAAAATACTTACAGTGGTTTTGGGGGATCACTGGCCAAGAGAGTACCGTCATTGCGACCACGATCATTTGGCTCGTCCGGTTCACTATCCGAATCACTGCTATCCAATGGATCCAGAGGATTTGAAACTGCCACATGATGATGATTATTGCCCGATGTGGGTAGCGGTGCTGCTGGCTTGCCCGACCCTGATGGTGGCCCGCCCGATTGGCGATTATTACGTGGTGGTGCTTCAGGTTGGGCTGATTGCTGGGCAAATGAAGATGTGGCTGCCGATGCGGTCTGCGGTTGAGGCTGTTGAGAGACGCCCAATTCATTTAGTTGTGCTGCTATCATATCCAAATCCTAATTGTTTTACATTTTTTGTTCATGGTTCATGAAGGACATTTAGTGGACGATTGGTGGGTGGTTGTTGCACAAGTTTGGTGAATGGTGAGGGTGGTGGGTGATATTGATGGTGATGATTTAATACAATTACAAGGAAAGGAGGGAATTTGGGTTTGTGTTGTGGGGACAGAGAGAGTGGTTACAGTGTGGATGGTCATCACAAACACATTTCATGTATTTCCATGTTGTTGTATGATGTTGTCAATTAATTGATTGATTGTTTGTTGTTGCAGTTGTTTGTAGTGATGGTGAACAAGGACGTTGTAGATGTGTTGTTCATTATAATTTGTGATTGGTTGGTTGTTGGGTGGGTGGTTGGTTGATTGGATTTGTAGTTTTAATTTTATTTATATTTGGTAACGCCAATTCATGTTTTATTTTGCACAAACAATTTGTAGGCCACGTAAAAAATAAAAATACAGAATTTACATTAAATGTAAGAAAAATATTAAAATGGTTTCATTAGAAGTGAGACATTTTGACTTTAAAAAGGTTATTTTGGTTAAGAGGTTAAGAGGCAACAATTTCAAACAACAACGATATTAAGAATTTTAGTTTTCTTTTTCAATTCCGGCAAGCAATTGAATTGATTAGTAATAAATTTGGAAAATTTAAACTTTGTATTAACCATTTTTTTGCTCATTTGGAAAGACACACACATACATACAGAGAACATTAATAGTTCATGCAAGGAAAGGTAAAGAAGAAACATCTTGAAAATATGAAATGTGTTAAGGTAGGGGAGAGGAATATTTACAAGGGTTAAAATAAATATTAATATATCAAAGAAACATTCACATAAACATCTGAAGCAGTCTGGGTTTTGAAAAGTAGTGTATCTCAATATCGAAAAAAAAAATTCTCAAAATTTCCCAATGGAGAAAAAGTACACCATCACAGGCGACCATATAAGATATTTTGAGCAGATAAGCGAAATGTTTTCACACTGGATGTGTTATAGACCTATGCTTCGCAGCTAACCTTATCCGTTTTATTTCATCTGTCTATTTTCTTCTCATTTGCCTCAAACATCTTTTATCAATTGTATATGTAGAATAAGGGAGGCACGCAGAGAGGTGGCACTAGAATAGTAAATATTTTCCTAATTGGAGCCTGCGAATTGGTTTCGAAATGCATTCCTGGATATGTCGCTGTACAAAATCTACCATATGTATCATATACATAAGTATAGAATGTAAAGAAAAGACCGATGGTAAACAGCCTATGTGCATTATCGAAAAAAAGAATGATAAAAGAAAAAGTAATCATTGCTATTATTATTCTTTAACGTCCAAACATTTAAGAGAAACACAGCCTCGAATGTAGGTCTTTGGAATTTAGCCTATCCCTATTGATTTACAGTTAAAATAGAACTGTTTTGCCGGTCTCTGAGTGTGTTTCAAATCTATTCCTTAATGTCTATTTATAGGTAGACGTGGGTTCCTAGTTATCTGCTTGAGACCAATGACAAGTGCTAGGCTTACTGGATTATTGGGGCACACTTAGACGACCGATAGACATTTTTTTTTGAAATCCTAGTTTTTTTATATGAAATATAAAAGAGTAGTGAAATAACTGACTGACTTACTGAGATAAGGCTGGGTTTTTGGAAACTCGTACTAAAAGCGTACGAAAAGTACTAAAAATTTAATAATTTTTTATTGGACAAACGAAACGAGCTAGATTTTAGAAATGAAATTTTGAATGAGAGTTGCTGTTGGAGTGTAGGATAGATGAACGGAAGGGTTTTTTGGAAATTCGAACTTTAAGGTTACGAAAATGTCTAAAATCGTACCATTTGGTGTTAGATGAAGAACAAAACTTGATATTTGGTATGAGAATCAAGGTTGGAAAGTAAGTTTGATTGTTTGGAAAGTGGTTTTTGAAATGTGTACTAAGTGTGCGTACTGTACTTAAGGTACAAAATTTGGAAAGGTTTGGTTTGCGGTGAACGAATGAAGCTGGAATTTTGATATATTGCATTGGGCTCCCTGTTGATGGTAGGATTGTGATAATAAGGTGGTTTTGGAAATGTGTACTACAAGTACACGAAAATTACTACATAGTACTATATTAGGTACTGTTTGGTATTGGGTGAACATATAGATCTTGAAATTGGAAATTTAGTGTTATATGTACATGTATAGCCTGGACATATGGATGTGTTTCCGAAATGTGTACTATGATTGTACGAAATATACTAAATGGTACTATATTTGTTATTGGGTGAAGGGATAGAAATAAAAATCTGAATTTTAAATTTAGATTTCTGTTAATATCTATGTTGGAGATATGGCTTTAATTTGCGGAAAGGCGTCCTATATTGGTACAAAAAGTACAAAATGGTACTAAATTTGGCAATTGTTCGAAAAGTACAACGTGGTACACTATTAGGTGAAGGAATAGAGCTGAAATTCCGAAGTCTGATATTGAGGTCTACGTTGTTATCTAAAATTGAGATATGGAGGTGACTTTTGAAAGTGTGTTCCAAGAATTGTACGAAAAGTACTAAATAATACTACATTTGGTATTGGATGAAGCTGAAATCTTGAAATTTGATATAGATGGTTTTGGAAATGAGTTTTATATTTGTACGAAATGTACTAAATGCTACTAAATTTGGTATTGGGTAAAAGGATAGAGCTGGAATCCCGAAATATGATATTGAGATCTTCGTTGATATTTGGCGTTGGTATGGTACTAAATTTTGGATCACTATTGGTGTCCAGGATGGAGAGATGTAGATTGATTTGCATATGCGTACTAAATGTTGTATTTGGTGAAAAGGGATAGAGTTGAAGATGTGCAATTTGATATTGAAGTCACTGTTGGTTTTTAAAGTTTATCTATGGACACGTTGAAATAGTTTTAGACACACAAAAAATGGAAGTGGGTCCATTGTGCAATAGTTTTACTAATATCCTCTACGGTAAACTTCAAAATTAAAGATTTTGAAAACATTTTTTTTGACCTAGATAGTAGATATTTGCCTATTATTCTTTCCGAACACTGTCAATGTTAAATTTAGGCCATTGAAGGAACATGTATATATATATATATATATATATATATATATATATATATATATATATTTTTTTTTTTTTTTTTTTTAATTTATCACGTCGGCTAGGCCAGTGTCTATAAAGGTATTTATGTATGTGGCAAGTCTGATTATTTAGAAGAGAAGTTGAATTTGTATCAGTGCGAAAAATGTAATCACTACAGAAAATTGAGTATTGATCAAAAATTGTATTTTCCAGACGACTCGAAAATCGATTCGAAAATGTCCAAAAGAGACATGTAGAAACCATTTATCAATATAAAAAATCCACATCTCTATTAACATGTATCGACAAATATATACATATGTAAAGGTGAATAATAAAACATGCAAAATACTACTGAAGGTTATGCTAAAAGAAACAATATTAAAAGTGTCCGATGGAAACATGTGTATGGTTTTTTCTTGTGGGGGATTATTCATTCCTTGGGGTTACCGGAGAACTTTTACCGTTTGCTCTTGTGTTTTTCGTTGTAGGCACAAAAGTTCTCAGAATGAAATGTTGCTCAGTAGGCGTTTTGTGATACACGTGCAAACATATATCTATAAACTATTCCGTGAAGAGTTCTGGATTAAATTACATTACGGAAGTTAGCATTACATAGTGTGCCTACTGCCTACTGCTACGTAGGTAGAAAGTTGTGTGGTATTTGAAAATATAACACACACGAAATAGTTGGTGGTGGGCGTTCTTAATACCACACAAAGTAAGTGAATGGAGAGAGAATGTTTCGTAAAAGGAACATAGAAAAACATATATGTAGCCACAATCGACACCTGCAGCATACACCACTGAGAGTGGGATTTATTGCATTTTTTGTATGATTGTAACATGAAACCCGTTCTAATGCAAATGTGTGGGATTGTCATGCGGCGACAGGAAGGAAGGAACGGAGGAAAGTAAACTGTTAATGGATTTACGTTACAATATTCAAGTGGTAAATGATAGGACTTAAATATGATTAGGCGGATCGATTACTAGACTAGGAGTTTGGGTTTTATTGTAAATATATGCGAAAGGCAATTGCTTAGAATGTTTGCTTGAAATATATTTTCGAAGTAGCATTAAAATGTATTTGTAAGGGACTATAGCCGAAGAAGTCAAATGGGTGAACATATTTATATCTACCAAAGAGGGTTCTGTCCGGGATGCAGGTTGTAATATAACATTGAATCCGCATAAACATTTAGAGTTTCTTTTTTTGTTAAATCGTTCTTAAAAATGACGTTTTTTTATAACTCTCCATGTTTTTATATCAAAAATCCTCTTCAGAAAGTTTGATGTCTGATGGCCAAATCGATTACCATTAGCAGGTTAACGAAACATTTACAAATCAGAGTAATATTAGACTAGCACCATCTGGGACATTTTCCTTTCTTTTTTTTTTTGGGAGTTATGATCGGATCTTGTGTTGATGGAAATATTAAGATCTTCCAAGTCTGAATGGAAACGGGTGTTAATTTCGTGTTTTATGAGCTTCATGGGTATTCACAACCTTTTTGGGGGAAGTACCAGAAGGAGTTGACCGATATATCTTTACAGTACATCTTCTGTCAGTAGAAATAATGGGATGTGTGAAATATGAATAGATCTGGGTGTTTATTTTGGGTTTTATAATCGTTTTGGTTATTCAAAACTTTGACCCTTTGTGGGGGAGGTACCAGAAGGCATTGTCCGATCTCGTTGTAACATATATTGCGTTGCAACAGATCTTTTGTTGATAGAAATATTGAGATGGGCCAAGTCTGAACGGAATCGATTGTTAGTTTCGCGTTTTATGAGTTTGGTTATTCAAAACTTCGATCCTTTGTGGGGGAGGTACCAGAAGAAATAGTTCGATCTGTACCATATTTCCAATGTGCCGGAATCAGATGTTAAATTCGCTTTATAAATTCGCTTATGAGCTTCATGGTTATTAAAAATGTTGACCCTTTTTGGAGGAGTTACCAGAAGGAGTGAACCGATATATCCGATCTTTACATAATACCTTGAGCTAATAAAAATATTGTGTGAAATATGACGAGAACCCGATTCTTATTTCGGATTTTATATTAGTTTTGGTTATTCAAAACTTTGACCATTTGTGGGAAGGTAACAGAAGGAATGATCCGATCTCTACATTCTTTATAATAGATCTTGTGTTAATGGATATATTTAGATAAGCCAGGTCAGAATGGAATCGGATGTTAATTTCGCGTTTTATGAGCTTCACGGATATTCAAAATTTTGACCCCTTATGGGGGAGGTACCAGAAAGAGTGGATCGATATATTCCACCTTCACGCCAGACCTCGTGTTAATAAAAATATTGTTATGTGTGTAGCTTGAAGACAATTGGACACTTACATCATAATTTATAAGAGCTATAATTATTTGTGGGGGAGGTACTGGATGGAGTAGACCGATATTGTCCATTTTCGCACCTTACCTTGCACTGTTGTAAATATTAGTATTTGCAAAGTTGGAGCAAAATAGGATTATCCTTTCTTTTACTGTGCAGAAAATATTTTTTGTTTTAAATTTCGACTTTTTTTTGGCGAGATACCAGAAAGAGTGGACCGATATTGCCCATCTCCGAACTCGATCGGATACTCCCTTCGAGAGTTATCGTGCGCACCTGCCAGCCAGACGGACCTCGCTAGATCGACTCCAAATGTCCTGAAACTGATTTGGTCCAAAGAGGCCTAGGGTCTAAAACCGTTATTTCGATGAGGCATGTTTTGGCCGTATTAAATGATGTGTACCCTCTCTAGCCATATGGCTAAGGGTATAAATAACATGGTACTCCCTTTGCCTTCAAAGATTAAATTGATCAGAGGTTTCCATTTCAAAGTTCACACCACAAGTCATAGTACTATTAAATACGAAATACTTTACGAAGTCGAAAGCAGTGGTAAATCGATGTGACGACCATATCGGAAGTAATACAGAAAAAATAAATTCGCTTTATAAATTCGCACTAACGGCCCAAAACAGGGATGGTTATTTCACTAGGAAGAGGAGTTAACAGTTTTAGGGAGAGCATATTTATTTCATTAAGCTATGCAGAGTTTCAGTCTATTTCAACATAACTATCAATGAAGCTGCGAAATTATGAACTATTTTCCCACATTGTAGAGAGGTGGGCTTTTTAAAAGATCAATGAATGAGCAAATTAATGGAATAATTCACAACAAAGAATCCAACGCTCTGAAATGGCTACAGTAAAGAATATGGCTAAGAATATCTCATCATTGTAGAATCTAACAAGACCCTACTCTATGTCTTTTTAAGTGATTTGTAGTACCATTTTATGATCCTTTCTGCAATTTCGATTTCGTTGTCTTTTCTATTTATCGTATAGCTGTCAACTACATAAAATAACATAAAGCTAAATCCTTCATAAGCTATCATTCCAATGACCTTTGGCTAATACACCCATGATAAAATTTGTTTGCAAAAATGTCATGATTGTCCTTCGCATATATTAATACTATCTACTTAGGAATAGAGGTATTGTGTGGGTGTTATTATGATAGGTATAGATGGTGATAGCAATGCCATAGACTCATCAAGGTGTAGCAAAATACAAATACATTAACATAAATATTTTAAAAAAGGGAAAACGGATGTGACAAGTTTTTCAAGAATACATTAAGGAAAGCAAGAATAGGTAAACAAGTAGATGGATAAATGAAAACAAGTTATAGAAACATACCTCAGGTCTCCTTGGTGGTAACTGTTGTTGGTTGGTGATTTGTAGATGTGTAGATGTTTTGGGAGGACAGCACAGAGTTTACATGGTGGAGGTATAATGTTATATGGTCATATTTGGATAGTGTATGTTTTTTTTTTGGAATTCCACAATATGTCCAAGACGATAATCATCATAAACATATAAGTTTTTTAATTGGGAATTTTGGTGTGTGGTTTTGTTGTGCATAGTTTGGGTGTTTATGTGTTGTGTGTTTTGTTTTATTTTGTTGGATATTCAGGGAGGGTAGAAATACAGATGCCGGACACCAATAATAAACATGAAAATAAACAAAAGAAGTAAAAGAAAACTTTAAGAAGGATATACACAAAAAATAAAAGATCGTGGGGAACACCCAAAACTCAAAACTAATTACTTTTTAGGCGTTTTTATTATTTCCAGGGGACAAGGGCAAATGACTGTTTAATATTTACAAATAGTATTTAGGTATATACATATACAATACACAAAAACGTTATGCTTGAAGAGTGAGTAGAGACTGCAGGGGGGGGGTTGGTTCTTAACACAGATGCAAGGACTGATGCTTTAATTTACAATGATTGCTCTTTATGAGAAGGCAGAGGGGGAGATGGGGTTTCTTTACAAAATTCGATCTTATGAAATATGTAGCATATACGATAATGTTGGCATAAATTATCTTCATTCAAAACTTACCGATGGCTTGAAATTATTTTGTGAATTACGCTGCTGTTGCTGTGGAGTTTGTGCGGCGGACGAGGACTCTGAACTTTTCGGTGTTGGTGGCAATGGTCGATTGGCATGTGGAGGATCTGGTACAACAATGAGACGTTGAGGTAATGCTGGACGTGATGGTGGTCCGGGTTCCTCGATTTGTTGACGTTGATCACGCTGTAATAAATCAATTATTTATTTAGTATCAAAGTACACAAGATAAGGAAATCTTTTTTAACCACAAAGGATGTGATTTACATAAAAAGGAGGATGTGATTTACAAGGATCAAAGGATAAAAGATATTCTTTATGGACAATTCCATGTAGAGAGGAGGAGTCTTCATAGATGGGATAAACATGATCTGTGTAAAGGTCTTAATAGACAAGCAGAAGGGAGTCTTAATACACAAGATGAAGGGAGTCTTCATAGCTAACCAGAAAGGATTGTTCGTAGACGACATAAAGAACTTTTGTCTTACAGACGAGGTGAAGAAATTTTATTCTCGGGCTGAATGACGTGTGAATAAACCAGCCGAAGGGCGTCCGAATAGACGACATTAAATGCATCTGTATAGACGACCTGAAAGGCGTCTGAATAGACGACATGAAAGGCGTCTGAATAGACGACCTGAAAGGCGTCTGAATAGACGACCTGAAAGGTGTTTGAATAGACGATCTGAAAGACGAGCTGAAGGAGGGAGGGAGCCTTTAAGGGCGAGTTGGAGGGAGTCTTTAAGGGCGTGTTGGAGGGAGTCTTTATAGACGAGTTGGGTGGAGTCTATATAGACGAGTTGAAGGGAGTCTTTATAGACGAGTTGGAGGGAGTCTTTATAGACGAGTTGGAGGGAGTCTTTATAGACGAGTTGGAGGGAGTCTTTATAGACGAGTTGGAGGGAGTCTTTAAAGACGAGTTAGAGGGAGTCTTTAAAGACGAGTGGAAGGAAGTCTATATAAACGAGCTGAAGAAAGCCTTTGTAGACGAGTTGGAGGAGGAAATATTTATAGCCGAGTTGGATAAGGGATTCCTTATAGATAAGTTGAAGGACAAATAACAGAGAGACTATAGACGAGTTAGAGGGAGTCTCTATAGACGAGTTGGGGGGAGCCTCTTTAGACGAGTTGGAGGGAGTCTTTATAGACGAGTTGGAGGGAGTCTTTATAGACGAGTTGGAGGGAGTCTTTGTAGACGAGTTGGAGGGAGTCTTTATAGACGAGTTGGAGGGAGTCTTTATAGACGAGTTGGAGGGAGTCTTTATAGACGAGTTGGAGGGAGTCTTTATAGACGAGTTGGAGGGAGTCTTTATAGACGAGTTGGAGGGAGTCTTTATAGACGAGTTGGAGGGAGTCTTTATAGACGAGTTGGAGGGAGTCTTTATAGACGAGTTGGAGGGAGTCTTTATAGACGAGTTGGAGGGAGTCTTTATAGACGAGTTGGAGGGAGTCTTTATAGACGAGTTGGAGGGAGTCTTTATAGACGAGTTGGAGGGAGTCTTTATAGACGAGTTGGAGGGAGTCTTTATAGACGAGTTGGAGGGAGTCTTTATAGACGAGTTGGAGGGAGTCTTTATAGACGAGTTGGAGGGAGTCTTTATAGACGAGTTGGAGGGAGTCTTTATAGACGAGTTGGAATGAGTCTTTATAGACGAGTTGGAGGGAGTCTCTACAGATGAGTTGGAGGCAATCTTTAATCTGAAGGGAGTCTAAATAGTCGAGCTGAAGGGGTATAATTAGACGAGCTGAAGGAAGTTGGACTACAATAGGTGAAGGGAGTTGGACTAGAATAGGTGAAGGGAGTCGGACTAGAATAGCTGAAGGCAGTTTAAATATACGAGGTGAAGGGGGTCTAAATAGAAGAGCTAAAGGGAGTCGGACTATATAAGCTGAAATCAGTCGGACCAGGCGAGCTGGAGACAGTCGGAACTTTATAGAAGAGGACGAATACGGTGTGTATAGTCGGTCGAAAGAAATTCTTTATACGCATAACATGGATAGACAGCCAAAATGCCCTTTTTTTAGAGGCGGGAGGAGTATTCATGAACAAGTTCATGAACAAACTTTTTTGTAGTATTGTCGACTTATATCTCTTAGGAGCAAAAAGTCAAATGATCGGAAATATGTAATGATGACATACAAAGATCGCACATCGATAGGAACATTAACAATCGTTTGCATATCACTGCGTCCACGTTGTTTTCTAAATCTAGTAAAAGTTTTGAAGAGAGTCTTCGCAGACCCTTTGAGGAATACTGCTTTTGTAGAGATTCAAAATGTAACGCTCCACTTCCATTCTATTCCCTCCCAATAACATTTGTTGTCTTTCCGTTTTCTTACCGATGGTGGTTTCTGATTCCGATTCGCCTGCGGCTGTTGAGCTTGTGCCTGTTGCTGCTGTTGTTGTTGTGCAGCTTGTGCCTGGGCAGCTGCCGCTTGAGCTGCTGCCACCGCGGCCATCTGTTGTTGCTGCTGTTGTTGTTCGGCGGCAATTCGACCCTCCTGAATCTGTTGGAAATTGCGACGCAATGTATCACCCGGTGCTTGGATAATTGAACTTGGTTCACCAGCAATCTGTGTATCATCATCGTCATTGTCCGAGCCCGAGTAGCGGTAGTCTTCGCGTTCCTTTTCTTGTTTGCGTTTTTTACAGCGATCGATGTGATCCTTCAGCTGTATGCGCACTTGACGATCTGTCGGTTGATCCTTGATAAAAGCATGCTTAAGCAATTGTTCGGTATAAGGCCGCTGATGATAATCTTTCACTGTGGGACAAAATAAGAAGAAAAAATTATGTTATTTTTAATTTGTGGATGGAGATTTATTCACCGCCCACTTACCTAACACTGTATCTATAAAACTTTGAAATTTCTTGGACCACTTTCGATTCGATTTCAAGCGTGGCGGAGAGTTACGTGGTATCAAGAAGAGAGCACGCATTGGGTGTAGATCACACAGTGGCGGCTGTGATTCGGCCATTTCCAGTGCCGTTATACCCAGTGACCACAAATCGGAACGATTGTCATAGGTGGCCTCGGGATTTTCATCGCACGCTATTACCTCGGGCGCCATCCAATACGGTGTACCAATGAATGTGTTCCTCCGGCCTATTGTACGATCCAACTGTGCCGACACACCGAAATCGACCAGTTTCACTTCGGCATTATCGGTGAGCAGGACATTCTGACCCTTGATATCACGATGTATAACCTTGTTCGAGTGCAGATAGGCCAGACCGCGCAGTATCTCGCGACATATGTATGCAATCCATTCTTCTTTGAGACTTTGTCCTTTTGTTGACTTAACTAGATCGGTAACTGAACCAGCACCACAGTATTCCATGACCAGCCACAGTTGGTCATCTTTGCCCGGCGGCGATTTCTTGATGAAAGCACCATAATATGTAGCTATGTTCCGATGATTTGAGTATTTTTTTAAGACGTTTATTTCTAATTTGATTTCTTCTTCTTCATCTTCGGTGACATCCATCACCTTTATGGCAGCCAATTGACCAGTTTTTGTATGTCGACCCTGGGGAAAGAGAAGAGTAAGTGAAAAATGTGTAAGATTAGTTGAGAACAGTATTAAGTAAGATTTAAAATTTAGATAAATATGTAATATTTTTTTAGTTAATCTTTTTTAGGGCAGTGGGAATTTGTCTGCATTTGTGAACAGTTTTTTTCTATACCCTCGGCCATACATAGAGGGTATATTATGTTCGTCATTCCATTTGTAACGCATCGATATAATCATTTTAGACATAACAAAGTATATATATTCCGCCCGTCTGTCTGTCTGTTGTAATCACGCTAGAGTCAAACCAAATATGTTCGAAGATGGGCTATATCGGTCCTCGATATCGTATAGCCCACATACAACGGTAGCCCCCGATATTGGGTATTTTGATGATTTTAGCCACATTTTCCAATGGAATTGTCTGAAAATCCACACAAGGAGTTTTTTTCTGAGTACTTTACCCCCTGGAAGAGCATGTCTATATGGGTACCTCCTGATATTCGGTATTTTGATGATTTTAGCTACATTTTTCAATGGAATTCTTTAAAAATCCATATTAGAAGTTCTTTCTAAGCACTTTACCCCCTGCAAGAGAAATGTCTATATAGGTCGGCGATATCGTACAGGATAAGATATAACACTGCAACAAAGTCAAACGCCATATTTTCTTTAATTTTATTGAATGGAAACAAAAAATGTCGGAAATACATGAATTATGGCCTTCAAATGGTCAATGAAACAGTCACACGCTGCCCGAATGTTGCTATGCGGTATTTTGGCCCATTTACGGCGAAGCGCTTGCTTGAGATAATCGACACTTCCAACCTTACTTTCCAAAATACTCCAGACACAATAGCCCAACATATTGGTGTCCGGAGATTTTGGTTGCCATTGTGCGCTGGAAATGAAGCGAAGAACCTAATTTTGTAATCCTTCTTGGGTGGCGCGTGCTGAGTGCAATGGTGCTGAGTCCTGTTGGAATGTCCAAGGTCTGCGGCCAAAATGTTTGCGTGTCGAAGGCTTTAATACACCTTCCAGAATACTTTCGCGATAACATTCGGCATTTATTCCGATGCCATGATCGATTAATAGGTTACGCTACCAGTGTCACGGTAACGAGCGATGGCACGAGACACAAAAGATTTAATCACATTTAAATGCTGGAGTGCTCTAACGAAAACCAAATATAAAGAAATTACACTGTCACGCTTAAATTCCATCACAAATTACTTTTTTCTGGAAAATTATCCGCAAAATGTAATGAGCTGGCACTGAAATATTTTTAAAAGCTGTCAGACGAGTGGCTTAGAAATGACAGCAGTCTGAAGTTGATTGAAGTTTTTTCATAGCCCACATACAAAGGTATCCCCCGATTTTCGATATCATGATTTTCACGGGAGTTATTTAAATTTTCGAATTTAGAATTCGTAATGAGAGCTACAACTTATGACAAAAAATTGCGTATGCAGACCTGAGTCTTCGTATAGCATCCATATAACGGGACCTCCCAATATTCGGTATTTTGATGATTTTAGCGACATTATTTACCGGAGTTGTTTCAAATTTCGTATTTAGAGTTCGTAATGGGTGACAGAAAATTGTCTATGAGGGTCCAGGTCTTCGCATAAGCCCCATATATCAGTACCTCGCTATATTTGGTATTTCGACGACTTCAGGTATAATATTCACCGAAATTGTTTGAAATTTCGTATTTAAAGTTCCTAATAGGTACTATAGCCTGTGACAAAAAAATGTCTATGCAGGCCCACGTCTTCGTAGAGCCCCGATATAACGGTACCTCCCTATATTTGGCATTTGGATGATTTTAGCTACATTATTCACCGTTTTCTTAAGTTTCGTATTTGAATATTGTAATGGCTTATGACAAATGTTGCCTATGCTGGTTCGTATAGACCCCAATATAACGGCTATATTCGGTATTTTTAAGATATAAGCAGAATTTGTAAACGTTTTTTTTTTTTTTTGGAAATTTCCAATTTTGTCCCAAAGTTCGATCCGGCCTTACTTACTGCTTTTATCCTTGTTTGTAAAAACTTTTGTTCTTGAGGGAAAAATAAATTATTGTCGTTGTTCTTGTTTCAATACATCAATTTTCACATTAATTAAAAATCTATGAAAATAAACTGTCCAAACAGAAGATGTCGATTAAACCACGTAATTGCAACTGATCTAGTTTAAAAGCCTTGAAGACAGGACATCATTTAGGTGTCTCTGTTGCTGCACACAACATCATCCTTGGAGATGTTCATTTTTCCGTTAACTCCAGCCATCAGCATTCATTATATTTCTTATTTAAAGCAAGAGGCTCAAAATAAAAAAAGGAAACCGGGTTTGAGACACATTTGCTAATGCTTAGCAAGAGGTATTTCTTTTTTTTTTCTTATCAATTGATAAGAAGCAATAAAAATTTGCAATGTATTTGGTTGTTGGAAAGTTGTTGCCTATCAGCCGGCAGCTTGTCAAACGGTAGTCGTCGCTTTACAAGCCTCGTCTTTATTTAGTCTGTCTTTTATCAGAAGAAAGTTAAAGAAGGCGGCGTTAGAAAAACAACTGCAGATGAGTCGGATGCAACGAAGTAGGCTGGTTGGTTTGTCGATAAAAAAAGTGGTTTGGTCGAATGTTGTTGCTACAGAAAATGGTAAAATCTAAACTAATTACCACAAAGTGAACATCTTTCTAATTATCGTTTTGTAAAGAGGGTTAAGTTGGCGTTCTTTAATCTTAAATGACATCTGATTTGTTTATGATATTTATAAAAAATATATTTATGGCTTTGAATTTGACATATCAATAAAGAAAATGCGTAATCTACACTATCTTTCATCCGGAAATTCCAGAAATAAGATGTTTATCTTTTTATGTAGCCACTTAAGATATTTACAAAGTTTTCCTCGTGATGATTAATGGATTAATTGGATTGGATGACAACAAATAAGCTATGACAGACGAAATGCACTTGGATATGACACATCCCAGCGAAAAACATGGGAGCCATTTAAAAGAAATATGCTACTAAAAGATAATATAACAAGTTAAAAAGTAGCAGTCGGTTTTGGACAATGTTGACCAATTCGTATCTGACCTACCTGATAAAAATGTTACAACGTGCCAGATTTGAACTATGTCGACTACTTCCTATACTTATATGTGCAATATTTTGGAAATGTGGAAATAATATAGCGAACCGAAGTATTCCATTTTCCTATTTCATCTAATACGAATAAAAATATTGGAATGAGCAAACTTTTATGCGAAATCCGAAATGTCTATAAATTACATATTCGTATCAGATTTCTGGCAAGCAAGTTGTAAAGAATCGTCGACTTGTTCCGCATGTTATGACAAATATAAATATTGGAAATTGTGACGCTTTGTGGCTGAGGTACCAGAAGGGGTTGGCAGATCTTTCGTTTGCAAAAATATTTGGATTTGTGAAATTTGAAGATGGTTGAGTTATTTCGCTTTCTTTGGTCGTTTTGTTTTTGTTTTTCAAAATATTGAACCCAAAGTGGGGCAGGTACCAGAAGAAATGGTACGATTTCTACCATCTTTATAACAGATATTGTGCTGATGGAAATATCGAGATGTACTGAGTTTGAATGAAATGGAATGTTGATTACGCGTTTTATAGTTTCGTGGGTATTCTGGGAGGTACCAGAAGAAGTGACCGACATAACCCATCTTCACAGCAGATCCTGTATTAGTAGAAATAATGAGATTTGTGTAATATGTCTCAATAGACGATCTGAAGGGTGTCTCAATAGATGATCTGAAGGACGTCTCAATAGACGATCTGAAGGGTGTCTCAATAGACGATCTGAAGGACGTCTCAATAGACGACCTTAAGGACATCTCAATAGACGAGCTGAAGGACGTCTCAATAGACGGAGTTGAAGGGCGTCGGAATGAGACCAGTTGAAGGGTGTCTGAAGAGACCAGCTGAAGGGTGTCTGAAGAGACCAGCTGAAAGGTGTCTGAAGAGACCAGCTGAAGGACGTCTGAATTAGACTAGTTGAAGGACGTCTCAATAGACGGAGTTGAAGGGAGTCTGAATTCTAAGAGTTGAAGGGCGTCGGAATGAGACGAGCAGAAGAGCGTCTGATTAGACGAGTTGAAGGGCGTCTGAATTAGACGAGTTGAAGGGCGTCTGAATTAGACGAGTTGAAGGACGTCTCAATAGACGGAGTTGAAGGGAGTCTGAATTCGAAGAGTTGAAGGGCGTCGGAATGAGACGAGCTGAAGGGCGTCTGAACAGACCAGCTGAAGGCGCCTGAATAGACGCCAAAGGACGTTTGAATTAGACGAGTTGAAGGGCATCTGAATTAGACGAGTTGAAAGGCGTCTGCATTAGAAGAGTTGAACGGAGTCTGCTAGTACAAAATCTTAAATGTGGCATAATTCGTCAAAATTTCGAATATCCGGAATATAGCTGCTATTCGAAAACGTAGACGTATTACTCAATAGCAGTTAGATTCCTTTACAAACACTAAATGCCCGATTTCCGTTGAAAGATGTGACTAATATTATAAAAATTCCGGATATAGGTAGGTGCTGTTAAATTAGGGACTATGGGAAAAAGTGTAACTATACAGAAAATGTTCTGCCAAAAAAAGTGGAGACATATAGCGGCCAATTGTTAGAATAAAATATTTTTTTATGTCATGCACAACCCAATTACATATAATTGTCATAAATTGAGCCTCCATTTTCCCCTCAACTTTTACTAGTTAGGCTGGAAATGATCCATTACTTTATAGCCAATATTGCTGAAATAGCCTAAAATTATGCAACTGAAACACCCCGAGATTTTTTCATAACTTCTTAATTACCTCATAAATACTTTCGAGAGGAGAAAATCAGAATTTCCTCATTTGTTTGTTTATATTACAAAATATATTCGAAAGAAATTAAATAATGGCCATTAACAAAAATTGAAAAAAAATGCAACTCGTGTTCATTTAAAAAATGCACGTTTTATTTTCAATTCTTTCATA